GGGGGCGAGGAGGCGCGCGGGCCCCCGCTCCCTCCCTCCCCCCCTGACCCCCGACCCTTGCCGGCCGGTCCCCCGCCCCAGCCCCGGAGGGAGCTCATGGGAGTATGAAGGAGATGGTAGGAGGCTGCTGCGTATGTTCGGACGAGAGGGGCTGGGCCGAGAACCCGCTGGTCTACTGCGATGGGCACGCGTGCAGCGTGGCCGTCCACCAAGGTACGGGGGTGGCCCGCGGGGAGCGGCGGGACCCGGGGTGGCGCGCGCGGGGTACCCCTAGCCGCGCCCTCGGGAGACCTCCCAGGGCTCGGGCGCCCCTCCCCCACTCCACCTGAAGGGAAGGGAGGCGTGGAGACTCCCCCCGCCCGGTCCTGCAGGTCCGGGTCAGGCATTGTTTTCTTGCCTATTGTTCCAGTCCTGCGTCCCCCACCCCAAGTTGAGGGAGTTTGGGGAGAGTCTAGGGAGCAATGAGTGCACTCCCTGTGCCCTACGGCGCCAGTGTCGGGGCTGCTGGGGGCATGTTTACCTGCGAGGTGTCCCCTCCCTCCCGGTTATTTTGGTCCCGGCTCCCAGAGGGAGAGGGCAAGGGGGGGTCACCCCCCTCCGCTTCCGGATACTGGGAGGAGCTGAATTGGGAAGGGAGGAGAAGGGTCCCAGAGGAGAAGGGACTCCTAAAATCCTCCGAGGGAGAGCTGAAGAGAAGAGAGGTTGTGCAGGGGGCCGGGAACGGAGAGGAGGGAGGTTTGGAGTTTCCCCCAGCAGCACATGGTTCGGGAGTTAACTCCTTGAGGAATCTTGCCGAGGGCGCAGGCTGGCATCTCCCGCCTGCCTGGCACAGCCAGCTGGGCCCCCCTTCCTGGGACAACCCCTAATCCTGTGGCTGTCTTCCCTTCCCGCCACTCTCCTCCGGTTACCTGCACTACACAGTCCTCAACCTGACTTTAGACCTGTACCTGTGATAGTTAAGGGCTGAAGATGAGGTCTCTGGACCCCAGACTTTCCTGCCTCTTCCCTTACTGGCCCTTTAAGAAACACTCTCCCCCCCCCCCCAACAGCAACAACAAAACATGTTTGAATTTTGGTGACTGTTATCCCTCGGGTTTCCTCTGTTATTGGTGAAGAGTGGGGCAGGACTAGAGCTGGAAAACAGGAACAGAAAGGGTGTGGAGGGAGGATTTTCTAGAAGTTTAAGGTCAAGGACTTAGACTTTCCCCTGCTTGAAGTGTTAGCTAAATTGGTTGTGTGATTGAAGGCTGACTGTTTGCTGTTGTATGTTGGTCGTGGTCCTGCTGTCTAGTGAGTGACCTCAGATTGGGGAGCATCCCCCTGCAGGAAGTGGATCTAATCCTTTAGTGTCTCCCCCACTCTCACCCACCCTCATTTACTATGGGAAAAAGCTAATAGCTGACAGACTGGCTCAATGACTCTCCTCCCTCACCCCTAGCTTGCTATGGCATCGTCCAGGTGCCAACAGGACCCTGGTTCTGCCGGAAATGTGAATCTCAGGAGCGAGCGGCCAGGGTGGTGAGTTCCAGACTCCCCCTTACCCTTATCCTTACCCTTACCCTTACCCTCCCACACACCTGAGCATCTCCTCATGGCTGAGCAAGGAGACTCTATGGCTGAGCCTAGGTAGGGTGGGACTTAGTTCTGTCATAAAGAACTTCCTGTTTCCACCATACCCATCACCAACCCCATCTCTCAGCTCATTCTCCGCTCTGTGATGTTTGAGCTTTTTATTGTGGAAAATTTCTAACATATACACGATTAGAGGGAATCATATAATGAGTTTCATGTTCCCATCACCCATTCTTAAGAAGTATCAACTCATGGCAAATCTTGTCTCTCCTGTACCCTCATCTAACCTGTACAAATATCTTACCATTTCATTCTGGGGCCCTTTGAAGGTGTTTGGGGAGAACCCAGCCTAGCAGCTCCTCCTACCCCCTTTTGGAAAGCCCCTCCCCCCAACTCCTGTGCCTCCTTGCATTGGCAGAGATGTGAGCTGTGCCCACACAAAGATGGGGCATTGAAGAGGACAGATAATGGAGGTGAGGGGGCCCTGGAGCCCCAGGGCTCATCTCTGCAGGCCAGCAAGGCCCCAGAGCAGGGGTCTCAGAAGGCAGGGGTGGACTGAGGTGGGAGTGAATGCTGGTTTGCCCTTCCCTGCATGGTACTGGAATCTAATGGCATTGGACAGCTGTGGAGGAGGGCCTGTCGGAAGTGTGGGGCTGTGAAGGCTGGGGGTGTCAGGCTCACCATCCACACCTGAGGCCAGCCCCACACTGCCCCAGGCTGGGCCCATGTGGTGTGTGCCCTGTACATCCCCGAGGTGCAGTTTGCCAACGTGCTCACCATGGAGCCCATCGTCCTGCAGTATGTGCCTCATGATCGCTTCAACAAGGTCAGTGGTCCCTGCCATGCTCCCTTTGTAGCCCCTTCCCTTGGTCCATCCTTGGGTCCCTCCGGCTGTCTTCATCCAGTATAATTTGATTCCATCCAACCAGTGCTTTCAGAGACCACAGGAGGTTGATGGACACTTACCAGGAAACCACCCTTCCACTGACAGGCACACATACTTAATGGCTTAGAACTCAAGCAAGATAGTAGGCTTCCTGATCTAAGAGTAGACTTCAGCAAGTGTTTTGTTTATTCATTCTCTGATCATGTTTTATTGAGTGCCTACTAGCTGCCAGGCCCGGTGCCAGGCACACAGTGTTCAGTGTGGATCAGACAGATGTGCTTGACTAGGGTGAAACTTCATCACACAGGCCTTCTTGTTTCTGGCACTCCTATTGGCAACCCCATCTCTTCCTCAACTCACCCTGCCCCCATAGAATATACATTATTGTAGGGGGGGATTGTAAATCTCAATAGACAGGCAAATAAGATGGTAAACAAAGAGTGGTAAGTGCTGGGAACAAACAAAGCACTGAAATAAAGACTACTTGGTGGGAGTGGGGAGGCTTATTTAAGGCATAGTGGTCAAGGAGGAAGACATTTAATTAGGAACTTGAAGTATTAGATGGAACCAGCGTTCAGGAGGGATGGTGGAGGTTCCAGGCTCTAGGTAGAAGGAATAGCATGTGTAGAGGCCCAGAGTTAGGAAAGCTCACTATTGAGCAAGAAGACACAGTCCTTTGTCTTACAGAGCTCACTGTCCAGTTCTGCACCGTCCAATATCATAGCCACCATCCACATGTGACTATTTAAATAAAATTTAAAACTCAGTCACACTAGCCACATTTCAAGTGCTTCACAGCCCACATAGCTAGTAGCTACTGTAGGGGGCAGTACAGATTACAGAGCATTTCTATCATCACTGGAAGTTCTATAGGATTGCTATCTAAGATCACTGGGAGAGGTTGGCACTGAAGGGAAGGCCCCTGGGACAGGGGTACCGTGCGAAGAGGGGATGATTGCTCTGTGTCCTGCAGACATGTTACATCTGTGAGGAGCAGGGCCGGGAAAGCAAGGCAGCCTCGGGAGCCTGCATGACCTGTAACCGCCACGGGTGTCGACAGGCTTTCCATGTCACCTGGTGAGACCCCTGCCCCCTCCCCCCCCCCAGGGTGTTTAGGAACCAAGGCAGGTGTGCCATCCCCCTTAGAGGTGGCCCAAGGATGACTGTGTCTTTCATACTGGCAGCACTACTTCCTTGGCTGGTCTTGGCCCACCCCAGCAGAGGTTCAGGAGGGTGGGAGGGAGGCGGCTGGTGAGGTTTTTGGCCGAGACCCTTTCTGGCTGACCTCTCCTGGTTAGCGCCCAAATGGCAGGCCTGCTGTGTGAGGAAGAGGTGCTGGAGGTCGACAACGTCAAGTATTGCGGCTACTGCAAATACCACTTCAGCAAGATGGTGAGTCGCGCCTGTCAGGCGTGAGCTGGCCAGTCAGCTATTGTGTAGCAGGTATGGGCTCTGGGCCAGGCTTGGCACCTGGCGCTAGGAAGACAGAGATGGACAGGACCAGTCCCTGCCCTTGAGGAGCTCTCCATTGGATGAGGAAGAAATTAAAGCACAGCCTGAGGGATGTGAATCAGCTGAACCAAGCAGTACATCCCGGAAGACAGCAGACCCTGCCTGTCAGTGTCTGGGAGGCTCCAAGGAGGCAGCATTTAGCCTGCATCTTGAGGTGGAGATAAGTGAGAGCCAACCTTTGTTGGGGTTTACGTGTCCCAGTCTCTGCGCTATCTGTTTTGCATGTGTTGTTTTGTGTAATCCTCCCAGCGGTCCTAAGGACTAGGGGTACTGCCTTTTCCCTGTTTTACAGATGAGTAAATTGAAGCTCACCAAGGTTAGGTAGCTTATCTCACAGCTGGTATATAGGGGTTCAGAACCAGCAATCTGCCTTAAAAGTTCCTCAGGAGCCTGCCAAGCAAGGACACAGAGAAGCTCATTCCAGGCAGAGGGACTGGCATGGACGCAGGGCTGGAGTGTCTGGACAACAGGGTATTTGCTAGGGAGGAGGCAGGAGATGAGCTGAGAAAGCTCAAGCCCAGCCAGATCTGGGCTTGCTTTGGCCCCAAGCTTATGGGGCCCACAGAGAGGCTACAGAAAGGGTGCTAGCCCAGTTTGTAGGCACTGGTGTGTTCCAGAAGCCATAAGGTGTTCTCTGCAGCCTGGACCTCACCCCCACACCACAGGCAGCCGAGGAGATTTGTAAGCGAGGGAGTAACATGATCAGATTTGTGTTTTAGGAAGATTACCCTGGCAGCCACTGGGAGGCTAGAGCAGAGGGCCAAGGCTGCCACCAGGAGACAGCTGCGGGAAGGGGGGTGATGGCGGGCAGAGGTAGACTCGGGGACTATTTCTAGGTAGACTTGCCTCAGCATGGGGGTGGTGGAGAAGAGTTGAGGGAGACACCTAGGCTTGGCTCTAGACAGTGAGTGGATGGGGCTTGAGTACCTAAAAGTATAGGGAACAGGGTGGGCAGCTGGCTTCAGGAGGATGAATTTATGTCCTGGTTCACCCCGGAGTCCCAGGTTATGCCTTGTGTCCTTATGTAATGGTGGTGTAGTACCCAAGGCATTTGACTGCTAACCAGAAGGCTGGTGGTTCAAACCCACCAGTTGCTCTTCGGAAGGAAGACTGTGCAATCTACTTCCACAGAGATACCTCCTTGGAAACCCAAGGAGGGGTCACTGTGAGTCGGCTTGACCGCAGTGAGTTTGTTTTTGGTTTTCAAAGTTATCCTGCTTTGGAGCGTTAACAATCGCCTTGGTTTCACAGTTTGATGATAACTTAGGACAAGATGAGGAGTTTCCTTTGGTTTGTAGGAGGCACCAAAGGAGACCTTCAAATTTGGTGGATGTAAACCCCCAGGCCTGTAAGGCTGATTGATACTGGAGTCCCCAGGGTGCCCACTTGGGTAGGATGAGCCAAGACAAGAGGAGAGCGGGATGGGGGGCAGGCAGGGTTCAGCAGGGTGGGAGTAATGCCTAACACTGGGTTAGGATTGGGTCAGATGAGGCCTGCAATGAGCCCCTGGATTTGGCAATCAGGAGGTGGTTGGTGACCGGAGAGAGAACAGCTGCAGGCTGGGGACAGGTGGAAGTCATCCTCCCGGGCAGGAGGCAGTGTACCAGCAGTGAAGGGAAAGAGGAGGCTGGGCCCTGGCTAGGAGAGGCAGCATGAGGACTGTTTGGGTTTTGTTGTTGTTAATGTTAACTCCCCCTTCTTAAAGTGCCAGCATGCCCTTTCCGATTGAGGAACCATTGTGTTTGGTGGATGGAGGGGAAAGACGGGCCAGGGAGAAGGGAGTGATAGCAAGAGAGAGGTGTATGAAGAGGAGAAGGCGATGTGGAGTGCCAGGGGAGCAGGGACTTCCCATGAAGGTCCTTGTACATCCCTTACCCCAGGGAAGGAGGCAGAGATGGGCTCTGGCTCAGACTGCCTGAGATGGGGCAGGAGGGCACTGTGGAAAGAGTGGTAGCTCAAGAGCACGGGGCCTCAGCCCTGTCCTACCTCCCGACTAGTGAGAGGAGGATTTGGCAGTTCGTCTCATTTTCTCCCCCAGAAGACATCACGGCACACTGGCAGGGGGGGAGGAGGAGGAGGCACAGGGGGCAGCGGCAGCAGTGGCTTCATTGCTGGCCGGAGAAGCCGGTCAGCCTCGCCATCCACCCAGCCAGAGAAACACCCTACGCACCATGAGAGGGGCCAGAAGAAGGTAAAAGTCTTCTCCTCTCCCGCCCACACTCAGAAACACATGCTTTTAAAAAGTGACCACAAGGTGCCCCCAAGGGCTTGGGGCCTGCCCCCTCCCTTCCTCCGAGGCCCCTGAGGGACAGAAGAGGGCTGAGGAAGTGAAACAGGAGAGCCACGGAGGGTGAGGTGACAATCTGGCCTCCCTGTGGCTCTTTATGTCTCTGTGTGGGTCCCTGTGCCGTCCCTATGGCAGGACAGTGTCCCTAAAGCCCAGCACATTTACACACTTCTCCACAATTGAGCCACAAGTGTACCTCCCCACATGCCACACAACACAGCATATCTAGTTCCCATCCCTTTGCACAGCTCCGTGTCCTGGTGGAGACCCTTGCAGGTGTGTTTGTAGGGGTGGTTTTCTGTGTCACAGGCGTGATAATGGGAGAGGCTATTTTTAGTAGGCAATAGGGATGAAGGGGGGGCTGCTGGCTCTCACAAGAACCTTAGTTCTCTAGTGCTGCTGTAACAGAAATACCACAAGGGGGTGGTTTTAACAAACAGAAACTTATTTTCTCACAGTTTCATGGGCTAGAAGTCTGATTTGGGGCACCCACTCTAGGGGAAGGCTTTCTCTCTTTTGGCTCTGGAGGAAGGTCCTCATCTCTTCTGAGTTTCTGCTTCTGGGCTATCTTCTTAAGGTTTGGCATCTCTTCCCCTACATCTGCTTTCTAGTTTGCGTATTTTTTTCTCTTTTATATCTCAAAAGAGATTGATTCGAGATACACCTATACTAATCCTGCCTCATCAACACAGTAAAGTCAAGCCATTTCTAAATGGGATTATAACCACAGGGATAGAGGTTAGGATTTACAACACATGTTTTTGGAGGATACAGTTCAATCCTTAACATTCTACCCCTTGGCTGCCCAAAATTCATGTCCTTGCCACATGAAGAATACATTCATTCTATCCCATCATCCCAAAAGTCTTAATTAAGTTCAAGTCCAAAATCTCATCTTCTGAATCATCTAAATCAAATATGGGTGAAACTTTAGGCGTATTCTGTCCTGGGGCAAAATTCCTCTTCATCTTGTGTTATGTTAGGTGCCCTTGAGTAGGCTCCGACTCACAGTGATGCCATGTACAACAGAAAGAAACACCATCTAATCCCGTCCCATCCTCACAATCCCTGCTAGGCTTGAGTCCATCATTGCAGCCACTGTGTCAATCCATCTCATTGAGGGTCTTCCCCTTTTCACTGATCATCTACCAAGCATGGTATCCTTCTCCAGGAAATGGTCCCTTCTGACAACATGACCAAAGTAGGTGAGATGGAGTCTGGCCAGCCTCGCTTCCAAGGAGTATTCAGCTGTACTTCCTCCAGGACAAACTTGTTCCTTCTGGCCGTCCATGGTATTTTCAGTATTCTTCACCGACACCACAGTTCCAAGGCATCAACTCTTCTTCGGTCTTCCTTTTTCATTGACCAGCTTTCACACATATATGAGGTGATTGAAAATACCATGGCTTGGGTTAGGTACACCATAGTCTTCAAAATGACATCCTTGCTCTTCAACACTTTAATGAGGTCTTTTGCAGCAGATTGGCCCAATGCAATATGATGTCTGATTTCTTGACTGCTGTTTCCATGGACATTGTTTATGGATCCAAGTAAAATGAAATCCCTCCATCTTAGAACCTGTGAAATCTAGACTACAGGCTATCTGCTTCCAAAGTACAATGGCAGAAAAAGCACAAGGTACATCTTTTCCATTACAAATAGGAGATATTGAAGGAAAAGGAGGGATAATGGGCACCAAACAAGACCCAAACCCAGGGCAACATTTTACATTAGCTCTCAGGTCTCTATTCTCTGAGACCACCTAGGCAATGGCCCTGCCCTCTAACATCTGGGTGTTGGCCCTCCCTCTGAATTTCTGGGTGGAGCCCCCTCAGCTTTGGGCGGCCCCATTCTCCTAGTTCAACTGAGTGGCTCCCACACCCCCTCAGCCCCACTAGGCCCCATTCTTCTGCCCCTTGGGCATGGCAGCCCTGCCCCCTCAGCTTTGGGCAGTGGCCCCATCTCCCTGGCACTTGTGAACCTGTAGCCCCTACTCTGGAACCAAGTATTGAAGATCTGTCTCTGAAATCTAGGATGCTGCAGCCTCGCCCTTTGAAACGCAGCAGGCTGTGGTTCCAGTGTTTGAAATCCAGGCAGTCCTGCTTCCCGTGTTCCTTCCAGCAGTTCTACTGGTCTCCAGGTTGCTCCAGGGAAAGTCCTTTTTCTTTCCTACAAGTTTAATCTCTTTAACAAAAGATTGTGTAGCTACATTCTTGGTAAAAATTTTAGGAAACGTGTATTTAGTTTGTACAACAGAATTTTCCAAATCTTTGAAGTTTTGCTTTTATTTTTCACAGTTCCTTTTTAAGTCCATCTCCTTCCTCTTGTATTTTGCTACAAGCAGCAAGGAGAAACCACATGGCTCCCATAAGATCTTGCTTAGAAATTTCATCAACCAGATATCCCCAAGTTCATCACTTACAATTTCTGCCTTCCACCAAACATTTGAACATAATTCAGACAAGTTCTTTGCCGATGCATAAAAAGCATCACCCTTCCTCCATTGTCCAATGACATGTTCATCATCTTCTTTTAAAGCCTCAGTAGAGGCAGATTTAATGCCATGTTTCTAGCAACATTCTATGTTGGCATCATATGTATTCTCTGAGCTCTCACTAGAATTGCCTTTAACATCCATAATTCTACCAGCAATCTCTTCAAGGTAATCTGGACTTTTATTATTAGTCACCTTAAAACTCTTCCAGCCTTTACCCAATTCCCACTTCTACATTTTAGGTATTTGTTAGAGCAGCACCCCACTCATGGTACCAAATTCTGACTTAGTTATATACTGCTGTTATATAGCACTGCTGTAACAGAAATACCACAAGTGGGTGACTTTAACAAACAAATTTATTTTCTCATAGTTTAGGAGGCTTAAAGTCTGAATTCAGGGCACTGGCTCTACAGGAAAGCTTTCTCTGTCAGCTGTGGGGAAGAATCTTTATCTCTTCTGAGCTCCTGCTCCTGGGCAACCTTCATATGACTTGGCATATCTTTTCCCGTCTCTGCTTAGCTAGCTTGCTTAATCTCTTTTAAATCTCAGAAGAAACTGACTCAAGATATACCCAATACTAATTCTGTCTCATTAACAACAAAGGCATCCTATTCACAAATGGAATTATAACCATGGGCATAGAGGTTAGGATTTACAGCACATATTTTTTTTGGGGGGACACAATTTAATCTATAACATTGTGCCACTGCTGTCCAGCCAAAGTCCCCAGTTCCTCTAGAGAGGGAGACAACTCCCTCAAAGACCTATCCCTGAGAGTGTCAGCCCTCCACATCCACCTATCATATTCATCTTCACCCAAACAGCACCTCAGCTCTGATATCTGGTCACCTTTGCCTCCCCAGAGCCGAAAGGACAAAGAACGCCTTAAACAGAAGCACAAGAAGCGGCCTGAGTCACCCCCCAGCATCCTCACCCTGCCTGTGGTCCCCACTGCTGACAAGGTACTGCTTCTCACATTCAGAAGGAATGGGGTCTTGCTCTGGGGGTACCAAGGGGAGGGAAGCAAGGCATGAGGGGTCAGCAGTAGCCCAGGAACCAGAGTGCTCTCCTGAAACTCCAGGTTAAAGTGACCACCCCATACACACACCCATTACCACCTCCATGTACCTCTTCCAATCCCCTGTTCCAGCCTAGAAAAGCCTGTGATCCTTACCCCCACCGATCACTGACCAACCATGAGGGTAGGGGTGGGCTGGGAGATACCACTCTGCCTGCCAGATGTTCCCACCTGTCTCTGCCTCAGCCTTGGGTGGTTCTCTGCACAGAGTAGGGGTACAGTGCTCAAGCCAGTTCTCCAAATTCCTGGGCCCATTTCCCCCAAGATAGGCAGAGAGAACTCCTTCTCACTTACCCTTCCCCTGCTGTCATCCATCCAAAATCCCACTCCATGAAGCTTGGTGGGACTGAGAGTCCTAGTGCCATGGTGGATAGGCCCCTACCCAGCACCTTCCCCCACAACCTCTACCCATCCCATCCTTCCCACAAGGGCATGGTATGTCAAGCCTGTCTCTAGAAATGGGCAACATCTGGATTAAGGGCCAAGGAGTCTCTAATACAAGCCAGAGCAGCCCTCTCTCCAGCCTGCCCTCCCCATGGAAGGAGAACTGGGGGCTGGAGAAAATACTTCCTCCTGTCGCCCATTATAGCCCCATTCACTTCCACACACCCCTCCCATCCCAGACAGTTGGCAGAGCCCTAGGCATCTTAGCAGGAGGCTCAGGTATCAGGTTTCTAGGGTGATGTTGCTGTGGCAACTACCCCAGTAACCCTCTCTCTCTCCTCCCTGCTTCCCAGGGCTTACCTGGAAAAGCTTGCTGTCCATGCCCTCTGACCTTTCCCTGGGGCCTGCAGCCCTGCAGAGGTGGAAATAGGTGGCCAGAGCTCTGGGAGTTCCCCCAGTGGCTGAGTGTCCCCTTGGACATGCTGGAGCCTTCTGCCCAGCACCTTCCATGCCCTAGCATTTCAGCTACCCCTCCCCCAGCCCCTCTCCTCTCTTGCTCTCAGGACCACATCTGGCTCTCTTCAGAACTCCAGCTGTTGAAAAGAACAAAGGGAAAGACAGAGACCAGAGCTCCACCCAGGGAGGGACCAAGCAGGGTGGCTCTCATCCCCCCATCCTCCCTGTAGCATTTGTTCATTCAGGACATGTTTATTGTGCTGATCTCCACAGGGACTGGGCCAGGTCCTGGGACCCCAGGTTGAAAAGTGCCATCCCTGGCTATAATGAGAAGTGCTAACTCACCCACCACATGCCAGGCTTCCTGGGCAAGAATAGGGATGGAGGGGGTGCAGGAGGATTAGCCTATTGTATTATCAAAATAAGTTGATAATGTACGTATTTTATTAATCCCATTTGATGGATAAAGAAATTGAGGCACAGAGATTAAGTAATTTGCCTAAAACCACACAGGTAGTAAGTGGTAGAGGCGAGATTTGAATCCAGGCAGTCTGACTTGGTCTTAAACACCACACAACACTATCTTGAAGTATATTAATAACAGCTATTAGTCAGAATCATCCCATTTATTGACCTCATACTATGTATCTGGCATAGTGTAACTCTCCAGCTAGGCCTAATTAGCCCCGTAGGGAAACTGAAGAAGCTCAGCAAGACTGAGACATGCCAGGAAACAGCAGAGCCAGCCAGGCTTAAGTTCAACTCAGTCCTACTCCAGAGCCCATACTCCCACCACTGCCCTGCTGCCCTCAGAGGGGTTCTTGGCCCTGGACTCAGGGACAGTTCATTTCAGAACAGTGTCAACAGTTGACATGACAGATTTGGATACATGGTACCATATAAGAGGAAGTAAGAGGACAGAGTGACTTGTTCACTCCCAGTATCAGGGAGGCTTCACAGAAGAGGGGACTTCTGAGCTAGATTTTGAAGGGTAAGTTTCCCCGGAGGAGTAAGGCTAGGTCTCCTGCCAGAGGGCTCAGCTCATGCAAGTTCAAATTGTCTAGGAAGAGCCCCCGTGATCAGGGAATGGGGAGCGGGCCAGTTTGAGAGGACGTAGTGGGTTGGAAGGCCCAAGGATGGGGCTAGGGAAGCCTGTTCTCCTAGTGGCCACTCTTTCCTACCCATGCTATTTCCCACTACAGGTCCAGCCCCTTAGATAGTTACTGAATGAATGAATGACCAGATAGAAGAATAAGTCAGTACTGACCCTGGGACTGTTTTCGTCTCTCCCCTCCCCACCCCCATCGTCCCTACTCCAAGTGAAAGACAGACACCTTCTTGGGTTCAGAGCCCTCCCCTCTACCTCATACCCAGAAGTTCCGCAGCCCGCACCTCAGCTCCCTGCCCAGAAGTCCTTCACGGAGCTAACTCTGGGCTCTCCAGTTGAGCCCTGGGTTCTGTACTCACCTGCTGCACTCCCAAATAGGGGTGGGTAAGCCCAGGCTCTGGGTAGCCTGTGTAGAGCCTTAGAGTCTTCCTCTCTCCTCCCTGCCTTCAGGTCTCCTCCTCAGCTTCTTCCTCCTCTCACCATGAGGCCAGTCAGGAGACCTCTGAGAGCAGCAGGGACTCAAAGGGAAAAAAGTCTTCCAGCCATAGTTTGAGTCACAAGGGGAAGAAACTGAGCAGTGGAAAAGGTGTGAGCAGTTTTACCTCCACCTCCTCCTCTTCCTCTTCTTCTTCTTCCTCCTCCTCCTCTGGGGGGCCCTTCCAGCCTGCAGGTGAGTGTGGGGTTCCTGGAGGAAACCGGGAGGGGGGACAGCCTGTTGCCCTGAGTTTTTCTCGCAAGCACTATTTGCATAGTGGTTTACATCTCATTTACTTCTTCAGTTGGTTCAGGATAAAGATAGGGTATCGCCACCAATGACTCTGCTCCAAACCTTTCTCTCCCTCTCAGGGCCCACCCCTCCACCCCCACCACCATATTCATGATCCCCTATGCTTTGCTGCAAGGTGCCATCTTGAAAGCACCAACAGTAAAGTTCTCTCCTTACACACTTACAGGCACCCAGGGAGGTCAGTAGGGTGGGAGTTCCTCTTCTCCCACTTTATTACCGGTGGGAAAGCTGAGGGAGGGACTTAGCCCAGGACACAGGGACAGTTAGTGGCAGAGCTGGGTCAGGAAAGCAGGCTGCCCTGCTCCCAGACCACAGCTGTCTCCTACCCCTGCATGTGGGAAGTGGAAGGGAGTGAGGGGGTCTAGCTGTTAACCCCCTTTCCCTCTGCACAGCCTCGTCCCTGCAGAGTTCCCCTGACTTCTCTGCATTCCCCAAGCTGGAGCAGCCAGAGGAGGACAAGTACTCCAAGCCCACGGCCCCTACCCCTTCAGCCCCACCCTCTCCCTCAGCCCCTGAACCCCCCAAGGCTGACCTCTTTGAGCAGAAAGTGGTCTTCTCTGGCTTCGGACCCGTCATGCGCTTCTCCACCACCACCTCCAGCTCAGGCCGGGCCCGGGCCCCTTCCCCTGGGGACTATAAGTCTCCCCATGTCTCGGGGTCCGGGCCCTCAGCAGGCACCCACAAGCGGATGCCCACGCTGAGTGCTGCCCCTGCACCTGCCGAGGAGATCCCTGAGACAAGCCTGAAGGAGAAGAAGCACAAAGCCAGCAAGAGGAGCCGACATGGACCAGGCCGTCCCAAGGGCAGCCGGAACAAGGAGGGTGCTGGGGGCCCCACTGCACCCTCCCTGCCTAGTGCCCAACTGGCTGGCTTCACCGCCACAGCTGCTTCACCCTTCTCCGGAGGCTCCCTGGTCAGCTCTGGCCTGGGTGGTCTGGCCTCCCGCACCTTCAGGCCTTCTGGGAGTCTGCCCAGCCTGAGCCTGGAGTCCCCCCTGCTGGGGGCAGGTTAGTGACCCCCAAGGAACATGGAGATCTTGGCCCAGCCAGTCTAGAGAAGGGTTAGAGTCGTAAATAGGCAGAGGGGAACGTGATAGAAGCGTGCTCCAGAGAACAGATAAAGGAGAGAGGTGACAGTCACCTTCAAGACACTCCCCATACCAGTCTTCTTTGTGCCTGGCTATGGGGTTGGCATAGCTTGCCAGTAGGACTTAGCAAGTTTGAGGAGGGGAATTCACAAAGCCAGGAAGTCCTAGGACAGCATAGGGCAGCCTAATAGGCAGGTCAAGCTGATTTTTGCAGCAAGGTGGTTAGAGTGGTATGTGGGGCCAGAACCAGAGGACTATTTTCCCTGGGGAGGGGCTGCACAAACACCTGACTGAGGAGGGGCCTGGGGGCAGTGACTGTAAGCTTCCATCTGTCCTTGTGCTCACAGGCATCTACACCAGTAATAAGGACCCTATCTCCCACGGTGGCGGGATGCTGCGTGCTGTCTGCAGCACCCCTCTCTCTTCCAGCCTGCTGGGGCCCCCAGGAACCTCTGCCCTGCCCCGCCTCAGTCGCTCCCCATTCACCAGCACCCTCCCCTCCTCTTCTGCTTCTATCTCCACCACTCAGGTGAGGCCAGTTCCTGGGCTGCTCCTTCCAGAACTGGGCAAGTTGGGGGCAAGCTGCAGAGCACCCCAGCCCTCCGTGGGAATTCCAATTTGAGAGATTGAGATTAAGCACCGTCAGAACATCTCTCCTCCTCAGCACACCTCCTCCCCTCACCCTCCCCAACCCCAGTACACACAGTTGTGCCCTAGATCCAATAATAACCACCCTGGTGGACTCCACCTCCTTTCCCTCAGGTGTTTTCTCTGGCTGGCTCTACCTTTAGCCTCCCTTCTACCCACATCTTTGGAACCCCCATGGGCACCGTTAACCCCCTCCTCACCCAAGCCGAGAGCAGCCACACAGGTATGCGAGTTTCTAACCCCATTCCCTTTTCTTCCCAAAAGCCTGAGGGGTACCCCTGCATGTGATCCCGGAAAGGATGGGTGGGTTTTCTGGCTGCCCCCTCCCTCTGTCCATCCTGCAAAACAATAATATACACAAAAAACCAGGGTGCACCTTACCTTAGAACCTGCTGGGGAAGCAGGGGAGGGCAGAATTACTGCTGTTTCAGAAGTAACAGTTACACGACTTGCTCTAGGAATTGAGGTAGAGAATGGCATAGCCAGGACTCCCATTCTGATCACCTTACTCCAGGTGCAGTGCTTAACCACTGCTGCGTAGCTTCTCAGTCACCTTTCAGTGGTCTCTTAGTATGTCCTTCACATCAGCATTTACAGAGGTCTCACCAGCTAGGCAACCTACGCTCTGGGTATTTAAGGAGTTAAAGAGGTGGGTTTCAAGCGCCCCTCCCTTTACCTAGAGAGTCAGCCCAGCCCCAAAGAACTGATTGGTGCAAGGCACCACCTGTCAGGCTAGGGGGTGGGGCTTGCTGCCTGGTCTCCAGTTCAGGTAGGCGTTCTTAAAGAGGCCGAATCCAATTCCCAGTTTAAGACCTGAATAAAAGGGTGACTATATTTTCCAAAATCCAACTTGGGACTTTGCTGCTCAACAAAGGGTTTTGCCTTCTGACTTGAGTATATGAACATAAAAAGTCACAAAGCTAATGATAATAACTACACTTAAGGGCTTGCTTCATGCCAACTAAATGCTTCACATTTATTACCTTAGTTTAACGCTCATAAAAATCACTTAAGAGAAGTTAGTTAAGTTCCCAAGGTCACACAGCAAGTAAGTATCAGACCCAAGCTCAACCCAGGTCCGTCTTGACCCCAGATTTATATAGCTCTGAAGTTTCCTCGAAAGAAATTGGGAGGTGGATCTGAAAATAGCCAGACAGCAGGAGCCTTTCTGCCTAGAGAAAGAGGAAGAGACTGGATCCCGAGGCCTCGCCTCCCAAGGGATCTGATTTCCAAGCCTGGGCTCCCAGCGCCTTCCACCTAGAACTTACCGCTGGGGTTGGGAGATCCTGGGCAAGGGGTCTGCGGTGAGGTCCCAAGTCATGCACCCACCGCCGGCTGGGCCCAGAGATGGACAGCACCCCTCCTCCACTGATCCCTGCTCCTCCTTCTCCTTCCAAGAGCCAGACCTAGAGGACTGCAGCTTCCGGTGTCGGGGGACCTCCCCCCAGGAGAGTCTGTCTTCCATGTGAGGGAGGGGGCAGCGGCTGGGGGAGTGGGTGGAAGGAGGGCTGGAGGGACACCCGGGGAAGAAAGGGATAGAAATGGGCAATGGGGGAAGGTGGGGACCAAGAGGAGGGATGGAACCCGTGGGGAGCGGGGACTGCAGTGGGGCCCGAGGTAAGCCTGAGCCCAGTTTCCCTTCTAACTACAGGTCCCCCATCAGCAGCCTTCCGGCACTCTTCGACCAGACAGCATCTGCGCCCTGCGGGGGTGGCCAATTAGACCCCGCAGCCCCCGGAACGACTAACATGGAGCAGCTGCTAGAGAAGCAGAGCGATGGGGAGGCCGGCGTCAATAGTGAGGATGGGTGGCGCCAGCCTGGGAGAGCCCCCCTAGGACTCCCACACTGTCACTTTTCTTCCTGAGGTCCCCAAATATCTCTAATGTTTTGCTTCTAGGCCCTGCCCCCAGCCTGAACTCTAACCTAACCCCAGGCTTCACCTTTAACCCTTGCGAGGCAATACCCTGCCTGGGACCCCGGTGGTCTTCTGGCTCTGACAGAGCCCCAACTTCCACCCTCCCCTCTCTCCCAGTCTCCCGGCCTAGACCCCAAGCCTTAGGCTCCACCCTGGGTCCTCACAACCGTTTCCCAGGTCCCGCCTCTCTGCTTCTCCAAGAGCACCTAAGTCCTCCACTAGGCCCACCCCTCCGCCAGGCCCCGCCCATGGCCCTCTGGCCCCGCCCCACACCCTCCTTTTGGTCCTCTGGTCCCGCCCTCTCTCGTCAAGCAACGCTTCTCCAGGCCGTGAAGCTCAGGCTCAGGCTCTCTCACCTTGTCCCGCAGTCGTGGAGATGCTGAAAGCACTTCATGCGCTGCAGAAGGAAAACCAGCGGCTGCAAGAGCAGATACTGAGCTTGACCGCCAAGAAAGAGCGGCTGCAGATTCTCAACGTGCAGCTCTCCGTGCCCTTCCCTGCCCTACCTGCCGCCTTGCCTGCTGCCAACGGCCCTGTCCCCGGCCCCTACGGCCTGCCTCCTCAAGGTGAGGGGGCCTCGTGGAGCCTAGGGCAGGGGCCCCTGCCGGATGGTCGGAATTGGCCCCTTCCGCAGCCCCTAACCTCCCTTCCTGATCCTCCTCCCTTAGCCGGCAGCAGCGACTCCTTGAGCACCAGCAAGAGCCCTCCGGGGAAGAACAGTCTCGGCCTGGACAATTCTCTGTCCACATCCTCTGAGGTAAGAGTGGGGAGAGAGGGGAGCGCGGGGAGAGGGAGGAGGGAGGAGGCGCTAAGGTGTCTGCGGCTACTGGAGCCTGGACAGGGAAGTGATTGGCTGAGCAAGTGATTGATCTATTAATTGGCTCCTTCCTTAGCCAAATAATTACTAAGTACCTACTTTGTGCCTGGACCTATCTAAGTATGAAGTGAACAAAACTTACACAGCCCTGCTCCTGAAGATAGACCAAATCGAAGGAGACAATAATTACAAACTGGGAGAAGTGCTAAAATGGAGAGAATTTGGGTGGCAGGGTCCTTCTGTAGATAAAGTGGTTAGGGAAGGCTTTTTTGAGAAGTATTTGTGAAGGGGTTATTAATAGCGCCTCACACAAAATAATCCCTCTTAATTGGTGGTGGTTGATGTAGGAGTTGCGATTGTTATGTTGTGGTTATTATTGGAATCCAACAGACTAGGTTTTTGTTCTGTCTCTGCTACTTATTAACTGTGTGATTGTGCAATGGTAATCCTAATAATAACTAACATTTATTGGACACTTACCCTGTGTCGGGGCTAGTGCTGAGGTTTTAATATGTTGGTTTATTTAGTCTTCACAATAATGCTGTGGAATACGCACTGTTAGCCCCCTGTTACGAGTGAGGAAATTCGGAGAGGTTGAGCTCCAGTCCCCTCAAACCGCTGCATTGTGGAGGTGGCTTTTGAACTGGAGTCTTTTACTCCAGCTGCCATGCACTTTGTTGGCTGCAGTTAGTTCCTTAACCTGTGTAAGAATATAGGCCTCTACCAGAACATGGGAATTACCAGATAATACCAGCCACGCACTAAACCTTGGGTCTGGTTTGTTAGATGGTTACTGCTGTTGTCATTGTTGTTCATTATTAAACAAAGGTGACGAGGGGTGCAGGGCCTCTAAGACGTGCTCAGTAAACATGATTATTAAGACTATTGGGATTTTTAGCCTTCATACCTGGGCCTTCTTTCTCCCAGGTAGCTCTCCCTTGGGGGTGAGGCATGGGTGGCTGTGCTCCGTGAGAATGTGGGTGGGTGCTGGGCCAGGGGGCCAGAAAAGTCATGCTGGCCTCCTGCCCCTCTGACCCCTCCCTTCCCCCTCCCTTCCCAGGACCCACACTCAGGCTGCCCAAGCCGCAGCAGCTCGTCGCTGTCCTTCCACAGCACGCCCCCACCGCTGCCCCTGCTCCAGCAAAGCCCTGCTACTCTGCCCCTGGCCCTGCCTGGGGCCCCTGCCTCGCTCCCACCCCAGCCGCAGAATGGGTTGGGCCAGGCAGCCGGGACAGCAGGGCTGGGGGCTGTGCCCATGGCTGAGGGGCTGCTGGGAGGGCTGGCAGGCAGTGGGGCCCTGCCCCTCAATGGGCTCCTGGGGGGGTTGAATGGGGCTGCTGCCCCCAACCCTGCAGGCTTGAGCCAAGCTGGCGGGGCCCCCACGCTGCAGCTGCCAGGTTGTCTCAACAGGTGAGGGGAGAGCTAGCCCTGGGGAAGGGAAGAGGGGAGGCTGGCTCTGGGAGAGATTCCCCCCCAACATGCACATCCCAAAAAAGGGAAACTGGAAAACTGTCCTCATGTCTTATAGGATGTAGAACTGTAGTCATCTCATAGCCTCTAGGCACAGACACGGCCACCCCCTAGGCTGTTTGGTGAGAGTGTCCCTGGGTAGTAGGTCTTCAGAGACCGGATACTCTGATTATTGCTTCTACTCCAATCTAGGATTTCCTTCTGAGGATGTTTTTCCATCTAACCATGTCCCTCCCAGGCTGTTTCTCTTTAGTCTTCTAAAACCGCACGTCCCTGCCTCTCTTTGTCTGGGCCTGAGGAATATGGAAGTCTGGTGGGTGGGGTGGAGGGGACAGGAGCACTTCCCTGCCTCTTCCCCATGGTTTGTGTTTTATCCGCCCACCTCAGCCTAACGGAGCAGCAGAGACACCTCCTTCAGCAGCAAGAACAGCAGCTCCAGCAGCTCCAGCAGCTCCTGGCCTCCCCGCAGCTGAGCCCGGTAATCCCCACACACACCCCTCAGAGGCCCGGCCTACTCATTTGTCCCCAGCAGGTTTGAGGAACACTGAGAATGTTTTGCCTATTAAAACGAAAATGAATGAATCTTCAATGAATAAGCAAAACAAAGAAAAGGGGGAGTAGTGTAAAACAATTGATCTAATTTAGCACATCTCAGCTTGGAGAGGTACGGTACCACCTCTGGGGGCATTTGTGGTTGTCACACTGACCAAGGAACAGATTCCTTTTGAGTGGGCAGGGCACAGAGATGTAGACCAGCCCCTAGTGCAACCATTTTTCTTATCCTGATGGGGTGACCAAGGCCAAAAGTGGGAAATGAGAGACAGAACCCTGACTATCTCTGGGTCTCCTGCCTCATGGGATAGGGCCTAGGCCAAGCAGGGCAGGCTGGCAGTGGGAGTCCTGGGGACCCTCAGCCAATGCTGGCCTGCCCCCTTGCAGGAACACCAGACAGTTGTCTACCAGATGATCCAGCAGATCCAGCAGAAGCGGGAGCTGCAGCGGCTGCAGATGGCAGGGGGCTCCCAGCTGCCCATGGCCAGTCTGCTGGCAGGAAGCTCGACCCCGCTGCTGTCTGCAGGCACCCCTGGCCTGTTGCCCACGGCATCTGCACCACCCCTGCTGCCTGCCGGAGCCCTGGTGGCCCCCTCCCTAGGCAACAACACGAGCCTCATGGCTGCAGCCGCTGCAGCCGCAGCAGTAGCAGCAGCAGGTGGACCTCCAGTCCTCACTGCCCAGACCAACCCTTTCCTCAGCCTGTCAGGGGCGGATGGCAGTGGCGGTGGTCCCAAAGGAGGGGTAAGTATGGGGTCCAGGGCCTTTCTGTCCCTCTGGGAAGACTAGTCTTGAGCAGAGGTGGCTTCAGGTGCATCATCAGAAGGAGGTCAGCGAAGTGTCCTCTTCAGACCCTCTGGTGCACATACTCCTGCTAGCACATGGGTCCCCTCATACAGATTCAAGACAGATAACACTCAGACCATGGGCTAGCAGTAAAGGGACCAATCAGAAAACAGCTTTCCTTTGGGAAGACCAACTAGAAAAGGCTATTTCTTTTCTCATAGACCAATTAGAAAAAGACCCTCTGGTGGACAAATGAAAGAAAGGCCCTCTGTCCTCTGAGGGCACACAGCCGGGCCCAGGCACTGGCCTTGGCTGGCACACGCCTGCTCAGCTGGCCTCCCTGTGCAGGACAACCTCCCCACTCCCACATATTAACCCTGGGTGTGAACCCACCGGAGCCCAGTCCAGAGTTTCAGTCGGGCTCCACTTCTATACCCTACTACAGCTTTCTTGGCCCAGGCAGCTGTTCCAAACTGGGGTGTCAGGGTTAGACATCTCCCCAAAACCCCACTTGCCTTCCTCTCTTTCCAGACCGCTGACAAAGGAGCCTCAGCTAACCAGGAAAAAGGCTAAATCCACCTATACCCCTCCTGACCTCCCAAATGGAGGGGGCAATCCTGGCCTGAGGGGTCCTAGCCTGGAGCAGGCACCTGTGCCCAGACACTGGAGAGCCGTGGCCCAGCCCGTGCGCTGGAGGGCCCAGGGAGCAGTGGGCATCCTGGTGCTGAGGACTGAGAGTGAGAGGGGAGCCCCTTGCCCACCTAGTCCCCTCCCCCTCTGCACTGGCCCCTTTGTGAGGAGCATGGAGGGGAGGGCAGGCTCTAAGCCTGCCTAGAAACTCCCACTGTCAGCAAATGTTTTGGGATCTCCCTGAGAGCAAGGTGGGCTGTGGCATTAGTGGAGGGTCAGTTCATCCCTTCACATAAAATGGATCAGCACTTGAGCTGGGAGAAATGGGGGACAGGCTCTGGGCAGTCCCTGGTCTGGCGTGGAAGTTGACGGAAGAAGGGGTGGCCCGACCTTTCCTGCCGTTTTCTCTGCAGATGGCAAGAAGCGGGATCTCTTGGATTGTTTCTTGCCACTCCTGTCCCCCCAGCAAGGGCCACAAGCTGAGCTTGTAAAAGCCTAGAGATGTTGGGGATGCCAAGGAATGGGCAGGACAGCATCAAACTCAGCCCAAGCCTCCCCACTTCTTGGGCCCCTCCCCCCCATGATGAGTCAGGGGAGAGCAAGTGGGGAGAAGCCCCCATCGTCCTTGGTGCCCCTGTCCCTTGTTTGCACTATTGGGTTTAGGAGTGCTGACGGTGGGGAGATGGAGCTGTGACTCACAGTGTGCGTGTGTTTGTGTGCTTGTGCGTGCGTGTGCGTGTATGTGTGTGTCTCCCCCTGGACCTAGGCCAGCCGAGGGCAGGGATAGGAGCAGTGGTCAGATGAGGCAGCACCAGAGTGGGGAGTTCTCAGCTCTTGTTTGCACTCTCCCCACCTCACCAACTTTGGTCCCATTATGGGGCACGAATGGTTAGCAAAAACCAGAACAGTACTCCAATATTGGAGAGTAACTGGGGGCTGGGGGCTTCGAATCAGGGTCACATCCCACCTTCCCTCCCCTAGACCCCACATGATCTCAGTGCTCCCTCAGGGCCCCCCCTCCTCCTCCACTGAGCATTTGGTCCAGCTTCCCTGGCACAGGGGAGCCCCAAGTATTGGGGGAAGGGCCAGGGAGGGTAAAGTGCCCCTTCCTGTAGCAAAAGCCTCTTCCGGAATCAGCCAGCCTGCCTTTCTGTACCCCAACCCTGCCCCACCAACCCGGGAAGAGCTTCAGCTGACCTAACTATTCCCTCACCCACCAGCTATTTCCCCTCGGGTATAGTGGGCATTTCTCACCTTAAAGAACCCCCACCTGCCCAGGGCCACCAAAGGCAAGGGGCCAGTGGGACAGGCAGGAGAGAGGCCAGGTTGAAGACTGTGTATGTGTTTCAGTTGCACTGGGGTTGGAGCCAGGGGCGGCACTTCCGTCTTCCCTTAGCTCTTGTCTTGTCGATCTCTTTGCATGTGTGGTTTTTCTTTGTGTGTTTCTGTTTGGGTTTTTTTTTGTTGTTGTTGTTGTTGTTGGTTTTCTTTTTCTTTTTTTAAATAAAGAAAAGAAGATGTGTATATTTTTGGCAACGACAGAAACGTAGTGCAGATATATTTTTGCCTGTGCTGCTGAACTGGTTTTTTTCTGATACTGAAAATAATATTAATATTCCTGTTGATAAGACTTTGTAATATGCTAAGGAGCAGATAATGGAGGGGTTGGGGTAGGAATCCTTCAAAGGCAGTTTCTTAGGCACTTGCAAGGGCTTAGGGATGAATGGCAGATATGACAACCTCAGACATTCGCACTTTTTATTAATGGGAAATATCAGAAAGGAAGGATAACATTCAGCATCTTATGCATCTTAATCTTAACTGAGCTCTTCAACTCCCAGCACCCAAACCACTGGGGGAAAAAAACAAAAAACCTTCAGAGATTCTTGGAAGACTTGCTCATTCCCACCCACGCCCTTGCCCAAGGCTGGCCCACTTAGAGCTGAAACCAACTTCTGTTCTAGATAGTAAGGGAAGTGAGTCCACCCCAAGGCTGCTGTGGTTGAGAGTGAGAAGAACACAGGAGGTAGTGCACTGGGGTCCCCCTCCCCCAGCACGCTCCTGCCCTCCCCCAGCCAGAGTCTGGGGGGTCTCATCACCCAATCCAAGCTCTGCAGCTTTCCAAAAACCAAACCAAACCAAACTCACTGCCACCGAGGCAGTATCACTATGGAAGTAGATTGCCCACTCTTCCTTTTGAGGAGTGGCTGGTGGGTTTGAACCACCAGTCTTCTGGTTAGCAGTCAGATGCCTTAGGCACTAGGCCACCAGAGCTCCTTCCAGCTTTTCCAGGCCCTTCACATTCCCCAGGCTGGCAAGCAATGACAAATTGGATTTAAAGAAGGGATCCAGAGGGATTTCCTACTTTGGAGGGAGCTTAACATGAAAGGTTCAAGCACCTTCAGGAGGAAGCAGGATACCAATGCAAGGGGATGGCTGTAATGACTTCACCCTCCTCTCTCAGCCTCAGCCCGTTTTGAGAATGGATTTGGAGGGGAGTAGGAGAGGTAGATTTGTAGATCTGTCTGTCTGGGGTGGTGGGGGATGGAGGGGAAGGATGTGGTTTGCAGGGAGGGCAGAGCAGAATTTGAAAATCCGAGTGCACAGAGCTTCTGTTACCACTTGCAGCCCGAAAGTGTGAGATTTGGGTGTCTGGCCTTGGGGTCACAACTGTGGGGGAGTGTCAGAGCTAGAAGGGACTTGTCTAGGGGATGTTGGAGGAGCTTCACTGGAGACAGCTCCAAGCCTGGGAGGGGAAGGGGCTCATTGGCAGAGCCAGGACCAGCCCTCAGGACCCTGGCCTCCTGGTCCCTAGCTCTCCCACCCCTCCTCACCATTTCCAAATGGCTGGCTGGCCCTGAGTGTGTGATGTGTGGTGTGAGTGCAGGGCTGTGCCCAGGATGAGGGGGTGTCTATGTAGCACTGTCTTAGCTTAGAGCTGACGGATCCTCTCCATAGACAATGACACTTTAAAAGTTGCCTTTTTTTTTTTTTTTTTTAACTATCATTAGTTTTTCCCGTTTGTGAATATTTTTTTCTCAGGCTCCTGGGTCTACTGCTGCCTCCAGGTGGCCTTTCCCTGAGGGTGATGGGTACCGCAAGGTGTCCTTCCCCAGTCATTTCTGTACTGAATTCTAGGGATACACTCACCTGGACCTCTGGTGGGATGCAGGAAGGGCCTAGATAAGAGGGGGAAGCCAGAACCAAGGCCAGCTCTGAGAAGAGGGTAAAATCTTCCTAAACTGGAAATACCAACATGTTTTCAAAGGTCCAACCTCACTTTCCCCCCCCCCAGCTTCTGGTGTATTCCTTGGTGTGTGGGGGTGGGGCAGGGAGGACAGCCTTATGGGTAAGGAGCTTGCTCCCAATTTTTCATCCCAAACTCTTCCGGGAAAGAGGTACTGGAAGGACTTGAGTTAATTTCCATTGGGAATTTGGAAGAAGGTGGGGAACAGTACCCCTGGCTCCTTGAAGCCACAGCCATTCGGATTAAACTGTGTCTAGCTCCCAACCATTTTTGTCTTGACCTACTGAGAAGGGACTGGATGGTGCCCTCATTCCCATTTGCTCACTTTCTTCTTTGCTCCAGTGGTGAGACTGGAGGTCCAAACCCCACCTCTCACCCAGTGGTCCTCCCTTACCATCCCAGTCTGTCTAGATGTAGCAGCCCCTTCCTAGGGAGCAGGGAGGGGAAGCCACGGATGGCAAACCCAGGGGCTCCTTTTTCATTCCTTCTAAAACCTTTAAATACTCAGCCCACAAGGCAGTGGCCTCTCCTGCCACCTCCAAGCCTGGAATTGTGCATAACCCGGATCTTGTATCTTTGTATAACGGATGTTATTTGTACGAAGGGCAAATCGTAAACAGCACTTGTTCTTTTAATAAAAGAATGTTTTACAAAAAAGAAAACAAGAGACACTGCTTTGTATGAATTTATTGAAGGAAGAGGGAAGAAGGGTGCCAACGGTGGGAGCCTGCGAAGGGTATCGGTGAAGGTTTGGTCTACGACCTTTCAAACCAGAGTGCACGGAATACCTGATTTGCATATTTAAAATGAAGAGACCTGAGTCCCCCCCACCCACAAAAGTGTAACATGTTCATCCGGGCGATCTGGAAATCGGCTTTCAACAATCTCCCAGGTGATGGAATGTACCCCGATGGCACTTCTAAAACACACACACACACACACACACACACACAACGATGCTCTGCGCGAGCCGTTCCGCTGGCACGCCGGGGCCAGAGGGGGAGCCAAGCGAGCCCCCTTCCACACACCCCTGGAGACCACGGGGAGCCTGCTGTGTGGTGGATACTGCGGCTTGGTTTCAGGCAGCTGAGGCTAGGACGAACTCGCAGCTCTGCTGACCCGGGCGGTGTCTTCCGGGCCGAGGAGGGGCCTGGGCGGCCGGAGGCGGAGAGAAGGGGAATGTGACACGGCACGGGGCGGGGCCGAAGGCGGAGTCGGCACTGCTTGACGGCGCAGGCCGGACATGGGCGGTCTGCGGGCGACACTGCTGCGGGCGGCGTGCGGAGCCGGGGTAAGCACCATCCCCTGGGAGCGGCCGACCCCTATGCCCTCCTCGCCTAGACCAGCGCCCCCGCCCCGCCGCCTTGCCCTTTGCAGCCCTCCCTTAGCGCGTTTCCAACAAAAGCCTTTTTCCAAGCGTCTACTGCGTGCAGGACCTCCTCACGAACAAGTCTTCCGCTCGTTACCCCTTCTCCTTACCCTTTTACCTCCCCACGCCCTTCGAACCCCACATCGTTCTGACCCTTGCATTCCTTCTGTCCCAGATTCCCCGCGTCCTTCCTTTCCATTGATTTTATTTTTTCTGTTTCCAAACCATCTGCGGGCACTCTCAAAAGCTGAACCAGAGGCGGGACTTGTCTTCCTGGCTGGTAAGTTATCTCTGGCCTCTGCTCCTCCTCGCTCAAGTCCCCAGGTCCAGAGACCTCAAAGGTAGAGATCTGGGAATGGGACTGAGAAAGAGTACAACCCTGCTGCCCACACGCCAGCCATCATATCCCCTGCGGGGTCTGCCCTTGGCCACCTCCTTAGCCACCACAACTCTAGAAGGTGGAATGGACCAGAAGAACGGTCCTATGGCAGGGAGCCAAGCTGGGCTGGAAACTTCAGTGCTTGATAAACCAAGCCCCAGGTGAGGCTGGCCTGGATCCCAGCCCTGCCCGCCCTAGCACCCTGAGAGAAGTCAGAGTTTGAAGGGAAGGCAGTTGGATCCCTAAAACCTGAGTGCCTGCAGGACCTTGAAATCTCTTCCCCATTTGGAGCTCAGGCCCTATGGTGCCTTGGGGGAGTGCCCCTGCAGTGTGGCATTAGATCAGCCTCCTGACTGGAGGAGACAAGGCTCCAAGGGCTCCGTCTGACCCTGAGCCCTCATCTTCCCTCTCCACAGACCCAATGGTTCTCCAAAGGCCCAGCCAAGTCTGTGGTGGCTCAAAAAACGCCCATCAAGGTGGAGCTGGTGGCTGGGACCACATACAGGTGGTGTGTGTGTGGTCGCAGCAAGAAGCAGGTAAGAGGCCCCAGCCCTCCTCCCCAGTCTGATGACATGACATCCCCTGGTTGGAGACAGCATGGTTGTCTCCTGCAGTCTCCGGGGATATTCCTTTTCTTCCCACACATACCAGCAGGACCACAAGGGGGAGTGGAGCTGAAAGAATATTCTCAGGCCAGTGCTACCTGTGGCCTTGAGCTCATTTGTTCTCTGAACCAACCCTTTGAAATCAGGCCAGAGAGGCATACAATCACCAGCCAGACTGGTAGAGCCTGGATCTGGACTCATCTCCTGGTCCTCCTTCTGGGCTCCCAGCTATAAGGCATTGAGGCTCACCTGCCTCTTTCTCCTCCTCCTTCCTCCTTCCAGGAAGCAGCTGGGCTTCCAGGCCTTGGACCCTAACATTGGGAAGATTCTGCTGAGTCTCTCCTGCTCCCTTAATCTTCCCAGCTTTCCCCTGGACTCTTTCCCAGTCCTCTTCTTCCAGAAAACCCTTCTCCTTTCTCAGTTGATGACTCTTTTCTGGTCACCTGCTGCAACCTGCTGTAGCTCTGTCTGGCTGCCTGGCCCTCAGGATCCTTTTGTCCCAGCAGGAACCTTCCTTATTTTCTTCGCCTCCCAGGCTCCTTTCCTTCCCCAGCTGAGTGCTGGACTGTATGCTTCCAGGAGGCGTGGCATGACATCAGCAGCCCAGAGTGCTGCGTTCCCACTTTGCCACCAATTTGCTGTGGACTTTGATAGGTCTTTGTGAGGGTGAGGCAGGGCTAAGGGAACCAGCTGGAGAGTGTCCCAGCATGAGGTAGCACTCTGTGCCTGTCTGCCGGGGACAGGGTGCCAGTTCCTATTTGCACACTCCTCACATCTCTCCTACTTCCTCTCCTCCTTCCCCACCCTGACTAGGGTGAAGAAGTCTTGGCTCCCACTAACTAGTGAGTCACATCACCTCTTAGGGCTCAGTCACTGCTTGCATAGCTTCAGGGATGGAAGTGGAGCTTACACTTGCACCAGGCAGCCCATTTGCTATGGGACAGTCCCTTCCTCACGTGTTTCCTGGAGCCAAACAAAACTGACACGCACTGTCATGCGCTCGGGCTCTCTCCAACCCAGGGAATGTGGGGAAGGAAATGAATTTAACGAACCAAAGGACACTCAGAGCCATTTAAAAAACAAAACAACAGCAACCTATTCATGTAAAGATTGCAGACATTTCACTTTGAAAATTCTGCTCTTGTGTCCTGCTCCTCTGGGTCCCACAGAGATTAATGCTATAAAAATGCACTCTCTCAGAAACCCAAGCAGGAGTCATTACTATGAGTCAAATGACTCTAGGGCAGTGAGTTTGGTTTTTTGAGCACATATGTGGGTGAAGTGGTTAATGACCATGTGATAAGTCTCCTTATTGCCCCACATTACAGAGGTGAGGGGTAAATCAGCTGGTCAAAATGAACGGATAGTCTGATTCTAGACTCCAGAGCCTGAACTACCACGCTCAGCCACCCCCACCCCAGCAGGTGGGGTTGGGTTTTTGACTCCTTTGTTTTCTCCACCAGCCCTTCTGTGATGGCTCACACTTCTTCCAACGCACTGGCCTAACCCCACTCAAGTTCAAGGTCCAGGAGACCCGTACAGCAGTCCTCTGTACTTGCAAGGCCACCCAGAAACCCCCGTACTGTGATGGCACCCACAAGAGTGAGCGAGTGCAGAAGGCAGAAGTGGGCTCCCCGCTCTGAGAGAGTAGCTGCTGCCCAGACCCAGGGGGCCTTGGCTCCAGGCCTCTCTGACAGGCACTTCCTTTGTGAGCCCAAGAAAGGATCATCCAGGGGACTTGGTACCCATACTTGGACCCTGTAACCTATAGTCTGGGGGTAGCCAGAAGCAGGCCCCTGAGTTTAACGCCTATTGGTGGAGATAATGGCATTAAAATACATATCCATCCAGAATGGTGGTTTCGTGGTCACTGGTGTGAGGCACCTGCATCACCCCTGCTCCAGATTTTAACTTGTGTGGGCTGAGGGCACGTGGTCGGTCAGCCACAGTGAGCCTAGTTCCACTCCATTCCATTTGGGGTCCCCCAAGGCAGGACTGGTCCCAGAGACAAAAGGCATGATGACGAGATCAGGGGACCCCTCCCTACCTCCCCCATCCCCTCTACCCAAAGAACTACAAGCTCGGAGAGTATGCAGCATTTATTACAAAGCCAAGAGATACAAATGTCCCAGGGTAGAAGGAGGGCAGTCACAGGACCTCAGACACAGGACAAGGTGCAAACACAGACAAACCCCCTGGAAGGCTCCCAACTTCACACACCTAGGTTGTGATAGAATCTAGAGTCTTCCCTCCTCACCTCCTCCAATCTATGTACATTTGAGGAAAAACAGGTGGGCAGGGGTCTGCCCCTAAGGGAGCCCACTGACCCCTCAGGGGATGGAGGTGAGTCAGCGCTCACAGGTTTTTGTCTTGTGCTTTTAGAAGCCCCTGTTACTATCCTGACTGCCTCGGCTAGGGGCGGGGAGGAGGAAGAGCTGAAGGGTAAGTTTGCCTTTGGCAAAACTTTGGGTCTGTGCTTGTCTGCCCACCCCTCTGCCACTCCAGGCTCCCAAGTGAGATCTCCCAGACAGCCTGGCTGGAGAGGGTTCCTAGGTGAAGGGAGCAGGGCAGGAGGGGATGAAGCTGTTTCCAATTCGAAAGCCACAGGTGGAATTTCAAGGGCTGAGGCCTCCTGTGGCCTCAATCTTCTCTTCCACAAGATAAATGATGCAAAGGCCACACACATTGGGGGGCGGGGTGGGGGGAGGCAGAACTATCTATTCTTTGCACAAAGTTTCTACTGCGCAAGAGGAAGAGGTGAAGGAGATGCCACCTCCACAGGCCACCTGCTGCTCAGAACCAGGGGCTAAACTGCATTTGTAAAAGGCACTGTCTTAGCAATTCTCTGGACATTCAACAATGGGGGGAGGGGTATACCGGTCAAGGGCAGGACAGCAGCCAAGGTGGGTAGAGAAACGGGGTGGACCCCTATACATACCCAGTTAGAGTTGTGCCTAAAGCTCTGGGGGCTGGTGGGGCCCCCTGGTGCCCCATCTACCTTAGGGAGTAGGGGGAGGATGGGACAGGCCTTTACTGAGCCTCAAGTGGCCCCTCCTGTCCACCTCCAGGCACCCCAAAAAAAGAAAGCAAATTACACAAGACCCCTATAAATGAACACCCCATCCCACATACACACACACACACACATAAAGTTTTGTATCCTGTGGCATTTAAATTAATCTGGCTGGTCCATAGAAAATAAGTATGTATATTTGGTTTTTCCTATGTACATATATATATATAGATTTATTTATAAAACCCACCCCCCACCCCTAAGGTGGGAGGAGCTGGGAAAAAGTAGAAGAGATGGAAAAAAAAGGGCCCAGAAAAAGTGGAGGGGTGGAGAGGCATGGCTGGAAAAGGAGAGGGAGGGTCCTTTTCCTCAAGTTAAGGGGGGCACAGGTGCTCCATTGACCGTCATCTTGCGCCCCCTGCTGGTTGAAGATGGTGTCTGCAGGCAGTTCGAGGTGCCCCCGTTGGCAGCTGTGTTGACCCCACTGGCTGTCGAAGGGGGAGTGGGGGAGGTAGGGTGGGTGGCCGGGGGCCCATGGGAGCTGGGAGAACCATGGGAGGGGGTGGCTGGGCTGGGCAGGGAGGAGGAGGTGGCCGGCAGGGTGGCAGGGCTAGGAGCCTTGTCGCTGACTGACTCACACTCGGAAGCCCCGCTGGTGTTGGTGCCCTCCGAGGGGGTGGGCGCTGTGGGCAAGGTAAGCCGCTTGCAGGCTGGCTGGACACGATACTTGAGGGGGAGGGGGCCGTTCTGCAGGAGGAGGTGGGGAGAAAGGCAGGGGTGGCAGTGTCAGGAAGAAGAGGCTAAAGAGGCTGCCACCCAACTTCAACCCACAGTTACCCAAATGAGAAAAAAGGAAAGGAACAGGGCCTTGGAGAGGAGAGAGGAAATGACAGACAAAAGGAGACCAGAGATGCAGATTGGAATGTGAGACCACAGATAATCTTGGAGAGAAAGGGACGGAAGCAGAAGGAAAACGACCTGAACATCTTAAAGACAGAAAGAGCGCTACTGTGAGGAAAGCAGAAAAGCAGGAAGCAACATTCACACCTCCACAGCCACAAAACCTTGTTTTCTGACCCCAAACTGACACGGGCCAAAGGATCCTTTGCTCCTTCTCAGTGTTAGAGGGGCTCTGAGAGACAGCCAGGAAGCAGGCCACCCTGGGCACACCCAGCTCATTGGGCAAGGGGTGGAATGTCTGATTACAGCAGGCTACCTGCAGCCACAGACCAATGCCAGACTCTGGAGACGTCCCCGCCCCATCTGCCCCCATCCTGCAGGGCCCCACCCAGCCTGGCTCACCCGCCGCCAAGGGTAGATGTAGGCAATGTCCATGAGGGTGTAGTATTCCTTCAGCGGCTCATCCTCGTACAGAACCTCCACCTGGGAGACGGGAGGGAAGGGCACCATGACCCTGGCCAGGCTCAGAGCTCTGGCCGTTTGGTAAGGAGGCTCCAGGGTGACTCTTGGAGGTTGGTAGGAACAAAGTAAACTGGCAGGTGGCCCCTCACTACTCTGGAGTTTTACTGTGGATCCAACTTCCTTATCAGACCTGTCCCAACATAGTTCCTGGCCACCAGGTAGGAAGGGATCCATGTTGTTAATATCCTCCCCCAGCCATCCACACAGTGGTTTGGCCAGTCTCCCAGAGGAGCTGGTCGGCAAAACAAGGCCCCAGGTGAGAAGTCTCTCCTGCAGTACAGGTTCTCCCTCTGGCTGCTGGCAGAATCACAGTGGCGTGCACAGGAAGTAACTTAAAAAGACCAGTGCTTGGTTCTCATCCCGTAGATTCTGACTTAACGGGACGGCGTGAGGTCTGGGCACTGGGAGTTTTAAGGTTCCTCAGGTGATTCTGATATGCAGCCGAGTGTGGGATCCTCTGTCTTAGAACCTGGCTAGTCAAAGTGTGGCCTGTGGACCAACTGTATCACCTGGGGGCTTGTTAGAAATGGAGACTCTCAGGCCCACCCCACCCCTTCAGAACCAGAGCACGCACCTTACCAAGCTCTCCAAGGTTCACGTCCACACTCAAGTTGGATAAGCAGTGTCCTAAGCCTACTTTAGAATGTCAGACTAGCAGCGGACATCAAGGTCAATTGGCATAACATACTACACAAAATACTGTTCCACCTCCTACTTTGGCAAGTGGCGACTGGGATCTTAAAAGCTTGCAAGCTGCTATCTAGATGCAACAGTGGGTCTCTCCTCATCCAGAGCAAAGAAGAAGGAAGAAAACCAAAAATTCACGGATACAATCAGTCCTAGTGACTGGTACACCATCCAATCTGCAGCCTATATGACTATGAGACCAGAAGAACTAGATGGTGCCTGGCTACCAATGTCAACCACTTGGAAAGAGATCCATGTAGGAGATCCTGGATAGAGAGGGAGAACAATGTGGACAAAACTTAAAATCATTCGGAGAACAAAAAAAGAAGGGGCACCAGGTTTGTTGGTCCAACAGAGCCTGGTGGAACCACTGAGACTATGGCCCCTAGCTGCCCTTCAGGTCTGGAATTGAACCCACGCCTGTGGCTTCCAGCCAAACAATAGACAGGCATATGAGTTGAACATTTACCATAGGTAGATACACTCCTTAGAGAGAATCATGGGAGTAAGAAGGGCTGTTTATGCACCGGGAAGCAGCTCAGGGGGCAGGAGGGCATGGAGGGATGGACACAAGGAAGAGGTAATTATCAGGAGGAAGTGGGAGGGGAGCTGTTGCATTGTGGTAAATTGTGGTCAATGTCATGAGACAAAGTGTATGTGAACTGCTGTATGGAAAGTGAATTTGCTCTGTAAATTTTCACCCAAATCACAATTAAAAAAAAAAAAAGAATGTCAGACTGGCCTTCCCAGAGCCAGCTGGCCTCAGATAAGGCCCTAGGGTTTTGCACACACATCCTGCCACAGTGCTGAGTATGCAAGCATGAGTGCACATGCAGACCAGTATTGTTGGTTCTGTGCACCTTTGAACACTGACTTCAGCAGACACAGACCGTCCTATAGTAATCTTGGTTTTAACTGCTCTTCTTCATGGGCTCAACTATAATCCATGCAAGCCCTTGGTAACACCAACCAGCCCTGAACCAAGCCCTTGGTAACACCAGCTACCCCTGAACTAAGGCTGGGGTGCACAGATTGGCAGACAGACTCCGACACAGGGACTACTTTCTGAAAGGGCCCAGAGGCCTGGTACCCACCTTGTACTTGCTGGGCACATCCATCTTGTTGCGGAGAAACTTGGCGAGATGCATGACCGTCATGGCTGCTGGGCACCGCAGGAAACGCACCCCTGTCTGCTGGGGGACAGGCATTCATGGAGGCTTTCACCCCAGGCCACTCTCTTCCAGGCCACTCTCCACTCCTGGGCAGGCCCAGCACCCACCTTTTCCTTGTCCCCATCCCCATTCTCCAGGGGGCCCTTCTTTTCCTCACGATCCCTGTGGGAAGAAAGAATGAAGGTAGGGAGACCCCAGACCAGGCAGGATGCCCCTAATCCACACACCCAGAGGGACTTCCCAAAGGCACCCCTTCCTCCCAGGGTGGGAGAGGTGGGTGACTCAGTCTGGGAGCCCAAGAGGACCAGGCATGGGCCATACTTGCCTGACACCCTCGTAGAACTCGATGGAGAGGCTGACAATCTCGTCATCGCTCAGGGCCCCCTTCTCCTGTTCCAGGACCTCACCGCGGTCCTCATTGGAGCCATTGGGAACTGCAGAAAGAGAGAGCTCTGAGGAGCTGGCCTAGGACAGGGGAAGGGTACCCCACTGAGGACACAGGGACCATGTAGCTCAGCAGGGTGGGGATGGGAGTGTCCAGCAATGCTGGCAGTTTGGGGTGGAAAGGAGGAATGGTGACGTCAGAGCATGAGCAGTGGGTGGACAGCATAGCATGTGAAGCCCCCGTGGCTAGCGACAGTGCTACACTCACACACTCGGCCCCAGTTCTGTGACCACACACACGTGAACACACTCACCCTCTGTCAAGGGGTACGCTGCATAGAAATCCCGCCGCCGTTTCATCTCATCTGGAAGAGGGAAGCAAGGTGAGAAGGTGGCAGGCTCAGAAATGGGGAGGAGGGGGAAGGGGAAGAGTGGCAGATACCTTTAAAAAGCCCAGGGACCAACTTGTACACGATGTCTTGGAGGGTTTTGTCAGATCTGGAACAAAATGTACAGGGGTTGATCAGCAGCTGTCCTACCCAGATCTCCCCAGCCAAGGGACCCCTCTTCCCTCCTCCCTTCCTGAGACACAAGGCCCAGGCATTTGGGCCCTTGTAGTGTGTCTTTACCCCTTAGGTGTTTCTTAGCCTATGACATGTTGGACACAACCCAGAGGGAGGGAAAGATCCACGCCCAGTGCTTCTCCCCCACTGGCTGCCTTGGCTACAGGCCACAAGGAAGGATGAGGGATGCAGGGGGAAGCACGTGAGGGGAGCACCTAGGGGGACCCAGAGGTCAGCGCAGGCAGGGCAGTGCCAGGCCCACCCACCTGATGCTCAGCAGTGGTCGGGTTTTGTGGACCTGTACATCACACATGGGGCAGTATTTGTTGGTCTCCAGGTAGCGCACAATGCAGGTTTTGCAGACTTGGGGGGTGTGGAGAGAGAGAGAGAAAGAAGAGTCAGAGCCCCCTTTCCTACCCTTATGCCCTCTGCTAAGGCTGGGTATCCCTTCTTCTCCTTGTCCCCACAGTTCAAGCTGTTCTAAGACCCAACATAACGATGTCTGTTTTGTCCAGGTAGAAGCTACATCTTATCCACCTTTGGGAGAGGACAAGTCTCCTATGTGTGTATGTGTGTGCGCATGCGTGTGTGTATATGACAGGGAAAGACAGACGGAAAGCAGACTGGTGTCATACACTATATGAGGGGAGTCCCAAGCCCCCATGATGGAGTATAAAACAAGAGCCAACCTCTCAGACACCTCCCCACATCCCTGACCCTCATCCACTATGCCCATAGTGCCTGTGCAGGAAAGAACTGAGGTTTCAGATGAAAGTCCCTGAAGTGAATGCCTGGGTTGAAGCCTCCTGGTCTCTCCTCCCAGGCAACCTCTCAGTGACCTGGGACCCCCCCCCCATCAGACATATGGACCATGCTTGCCCTCCAGGGCAGGGGCGTATGTTTCTGCCTTCTCCAGGCAGTGCCCACTCCCCAAACTGGGCACAGTGGCTGCCCACCCCGAGAAGCAGCCCCCACCCAACTCACAGGAATGCAAGCACTCCACGATGGTCGTGGCATCGATGAAATACCCCCCGCAGAGGGCACACATGAGGTGGGGGTTCAGCTCCGTGATCTTGATCCGTGTGGTTCGATGCATGATGCCAGGGTAGGGGGTGGGGGGACTGGGGAATGTTACCCTGGGAAATGAAAGTGGAATCAGAAACCTAGAGATCCAATAGCCTGTCACACACTTCACTTTGTCCCCACCCAAACCACATCTCTCCCTGAGCCCAAGCCTCTTCTTTGGTCTTAAGGTGGGGTGGGGTGCATGGATATGGCTGGTTCCATCTGGCCTCCTGTGATGCTGGGGGCTCTTGAGGAGTCATGCAAACTGAAGCAACAAGGTCAGGCTCCATCGCAGGAAGAGCAGGATGGATTGAGATTAGCAGAGTACATGGAAAAGCAGGAAAACGGAAGAACAGGGTTTTGTAAATCTCCCCAATCTCAATCCACATTCACTGAAATGCTAAGTACTCAGTTGCTAACTGGAAGGTCTGTAGTTCAAACCCCCAGGAGAAAGATTAAAAAAAAAACCAAACTCACTGCTGTCAAGTCAGATCTGACTCACAGCGACCCCCCCCCTTGGGTTTCCGAGGCAGTAACACTACAGAAGTAGATTGCCCAACCTTCCTTCTGAGGAGTGGCTTGGGGGTTTGAACCACCAGCTTGGAAACCTTATGGGGCAGTTCTGCTCTGTCCTCTAGGATCACTATGAGTTAGAACTGACTCAATGCCAGCAGGTTGGGGCCATGAAGGAGTCCCTGTTGTTGCTGTTGTTATGTGCTGTCAAGTCGCACCTGACTCATAGCAACCCCTCCTTGGATTTCTGAGGCAGTATCACTACGGGAAGAAGCTTGTCCCATCTTCCTTCCGAGGAGTGGGTGGTGGGTTTGAACCGCCAGCCTTGTGGTTAGCAGTCTAGTGCTTTAGGTACTACGCTACCAGAGCTCCTAAAGGAGTCCCTAGGAGATGCAAACGGTTTAGCACTCAACTAAGAGCTAAAAGGTTAGTGGTTTCAACCAACCCACGGAGAGGTGCCTCAGAGGACAAACACAGTGATCTACTTGGAAAGATCTCAACCTTCATTCAACACCCCATGGAGCTGTTCTACTCAGCACACATAGGGTTGCCAAGAGTTGGCATCAGCTTGACAGCAACTAACAACAGGGGCTATGGAGAAACTTAGATAAAAGGAAATAAAGAGATCAATAGGAAATAAATTACCCTCCTCAGCTCCTCCAGCCAGGTGCAACACCCCTGACAAATCTTTCTAAACCATCCCATCCTCCTCCTACCCTATCCACTCCTCCTCTAGGAAGCCCTCCTGGGAACACTGTGGACACACCTAAATTTGAAGAGGGCACCCATCATTTGTTCCTTTGGCTGTGCATCCTGCCCAGGCCCTGAAGCACCCCCCTCCTCTAAGGGCCACTGGATATAGAAACCCACCATATATATGGACCTGGTGCTCAGGCAGGGACTATTGAGAACTGTCCCCTACAAGCCTAAAGTTGGGAACACACAGCTCCCGCCTATCCCTAGACCCAGCCACAGACTCTGCAGGTAAAGGCAGTCAAGGAACCAGGGTAACAAGACTGCTACCACCCCGCCACAGGAAGCCCTCCTATGGCCTGCAAGCTCACCCATGCTCTAGGACCAGCCCCCCTTGTGGATGCACAGGAGTTTTCCTCACATGGGCACTGCCACCCTCCTACCGTCTCCCACCTGGTGATAACTCTGTAACTCGTCTGCTCCAGCAACAAACCTGAGGCTATGGATGCCTCAGCCTACCTGAGCACCCCGCCAGGCCCCCAGCTCGTCACAGTCCAGCTCTGGACTGGCTGATGTGCCCAGGTCTAGGTACAAAAATCAACCTGCACCTAGAAGGGAAGGCCCCGCCCTCTCTTGCTCTTTCCCAGAGTAGAAGTCCAAGGAGTGGGGCTCGGGAGAGTGGCCAAGCCCCAGCAGCTCCTTGACACATGTTCACGCCCTTCTCTCCTTTCCAGAAGGATTTCTAAAGCAACCACATTGGGTTTTCCAGGACAAGAAATTCACAGCCGGGACCAGCAGTTTCTATAGAGACCCCAGGATGAGTTTGGCCAGGACCCAAGCAGCAAACAGAGGCACAGGGAGCCTGGCCAGAGACCAAAAGAGATCGAGAGACACAAAGGCCACACTGGGAGAGATACCAAGTTAGAGGGCAGACAGAGTGGAACAACCAAAGCCCAGAGCAAGCCGGAAACCCTGCTGAGAGGCAGCGCCCCAAGACCTGCAGGAAGGGAAGGGGCTCCCCCCTGACAGAGGGCAGCCTCGGTCAGCCCTCCCTGCATGGTGCCCCCTTCACAATTATGCAGAAGGCTTGCTGGCTACTCTACTGTTTGGTTGTTTCCATAGTAACCCTCTCCCTGGCAAGATGCCCAAATATTATTACAACCATCCAAAGGAGGAAAGAGAGAGAACTGACTCCAAGTAGCTGTCTCTTGGAGAGTGTGTAATAGCCATTGTAGGAGTCCGTGCCGCCGGGGCCGCCAAAAGGAACTTCACGTGATTGCCTGTCCTGGGTGTGTGTGTTCAAATGTATATGTGTACATTGTTGTTGTTGTTGTTATGTGCCGTCGAGTCGGCCCCGACTCATAGCGACCCCTCCTTGGGTTTCCGAGGCAGTATCACTACGGAAGTAGGATTGCCCAACCTTACTTCCGAGGAGTGGCTGGTGGGTTTGAACCACCAGCCTTCTGGTTAGCAGTCAAGTGCTTTAGCCACTATGCTACCAGAGCTCCTATATGTGTACATGCACACCCCAAAACAAAACATGGTGGAGTCTGATCATGCTGGGGGTCCAGGCTGTTAGGAGTAACTCACATCCCCTTCTCTCTCTCTCACCTAGACATACACACACATGTACACACGTACAAATGCAGGCGCCTCACATTGCCTTCGCCACCTCACTCACACATATGCTGTGTTTTCAAAACAGACACTTGCTCTTACGACCTCCCACCAGAGCCAGTTCCAGACAGACAGACTGTAGCCTTCACACCCGGGAGCACCACGCTGCCAATGACATGGCCCTCACCCTAGTGCTTCTACTTCCCTGAACATTTGAAGGAATTCAGACCAAGACCATCCCTCAAGCCCCTTTCTGGATGCAAGGGAGAAAAGGGCTGTGGTGCTTTGTTGAATGAAACATTCCTCCTTTTCCCATTCAAGAAATGAGACCCCTGTGCCATATTCTCTGGCCCCATTCCATCCCCAGGGGCCTCAGACTTCTACCTCTGGGGCTGGGGGTGGGGAGAAGCGCTGATTGGTTCCTCACCTGATTGCCATGGTTACCTGTAGGGCCCTGCCAGCAGGTGCCAAGAGCAACTGTAAACAGGAGCTGGGTTCCCTAATAGCACCTCCTTCCCTTTCCCTCCCTAGGAAGCTCAGGGCCCACTTACACCCAATTCCTCCCTAGTTACATAGGGCTGGTGGGAGGGAGAGGGAGGAGAGGCAGTGAGCGCCGGACTTCCGGCTGTCATCATCACTTTAGAGAAAGGCTGAGAGATAGGAACAACCAAAGAGGGAGAGAGATCCCAAGAAGCAGAAACAGGAGACCAACGGCCATTCAGAGGTGGCCTCCATGGAGCTGGGGGGATTGAACAGATCAACCCCACCTGTGTTCCCACACTGGGCCTGGGCACTGTCTCCCACCCTCAATACAACCTTTCCCTTCCCCTCAACCGGAGGTCAAGTTCTTCAGGATCTTCTGTCCTCAATCCACTGTCTTTTAAGGGCTGACCCTTAAGTGACCCATGCTCCTGGCCCCTGAGCCCCAGGTGCCAGCCAGAGTGGCAAAAAAAAAAAGAGGGAGCTTTTATGGTACCCAGTCTAACCCCAGCAGTTCTCTCTCTTCATCCTCAAAGCCCTTCACTAACAGAGACCACCCTCCTCCACCTTTCTATTCTGATCAGTCTCTTTCCGGAAGCCCCTTTCCCCCAACTGAGGCCTCTCTGGCTGTTAGTGACTCCATTTCCCCTGCAGAAATAACCAGTCTCTGACCACCCAGAGGCCCTACTGCTTAATGAGATGCCATGCAATAGCATTCTTTGCTTGGGCTCCCCTCTAAACAAAATTTGCCCAACTCCCTCACTAGAAATTCCCCGGGTCTTGTAAAAGTCAATCAAGGTCACAAGCAAATGTCTAGAATTGCAGAAGTGAAAGAGATCTTAGAAAGCATCTTGTCCAATCCTTTCATTTTATAGATGAAGAAACTCAGACAGAAGAGACTTGCCTAAGGTCACACAGTCAGGCAGTGGCAGGCGTGGGACTAGACTAATCCTGGCTCTATCCCAGTGCTCTGTTCACACTGACACCAAGGCCAGGTACCTCACTCATCTAAAGAACCAATAAACCTGACCAGACTCCATCCAGACAGGTGGGAAACAGGGACAGGCCCTCTATGAGCCTGCTAGGAGAGGGTCAAAGTCTGGCCAAAATACTGCCATTAGCACCAGTGTTCTCACCTTGAAGTAGGAAGAGGGAACGGAGGCTAATTGCCTCACCTCATCCCATGGTGCACATGGGGAAACTTAGGCTCCTGGAGTGGCAACAGCTTCTCCATGAAGCACACTGAGCCAGAGTGTAGTGGCAAGATCAGTTCCAGGAATCCCTCTTTCTTCCTGCCACATGGGTCCAACTGTGCAGGTTCCATGTATGTCTTTGGGGCCATAGTAGTCTGCCTGGGGGCACTGCCAACCTCTCAACCTTCCCCAATCCTTGACCCTGACTTCCTCCCTAGCACTGAGAAGGCCTCTAGCCTCCTCAAGCTGGGCTCACTACCCTTTCCTCTCAGCTCCCTGAGATCAAAAACAAAAACCCAAAATACAAAGAACTGCACACTGACACACACACGTACACAAACATATACACACACAGACAGACATAACCCATCCATCTCTCCCACACAACACACAAGACCAGACACTACATAAGCAAGCATGCACGCATACGCACACACACATAGGGCCAGACACTTGGCCAGACACATACACACGGGGCCAGACACACCCCATTGTACGTACAGCCAGGCCTACAGTTGCCAGATGCGCAAGCCACCCCCACCT